GAGCCATGCCTGCGGAGCCTGCGCATCCGGAGCCTGTGCTCCAGAACGGGAGAGGCCACAACAGTGAGAGGCCCACGTACCGCAAAAAAGGAAAAAAAAAAAAAAAAAAATGATACAAATGTACTTATTTACAAAACAGAAACAGACTTACAGACATGGAAGACAAACTTATGGTTACCAAAGGGGATACCTGGCACGGGGGGGGAGAGATAAATCAGGAGCTTGGGATAAACATACACACACTACTATATATAAGATAGATAACCAACAAGGACCTACTGTATAGCACAGGGAACTCTACTCAATATTCTGTGATAACCTATATGAGAAAAGAATCTAAGAAGGAATGAATATTTAAATAAACTAATAAGTTAAAATATTAGAAAAAAATGTCCCTGCTTCTAGCACTCTGTTAGAGACCCATCACTTAGCCCACTATTAAGTCATAGAAAGTAACTAAGAACCCACTGCAGGGAGAATGGATCACTGAAAAAGCCTACAGATATGATGGTCAAACATACTATGTAAACATCCCTTAATTCAAATTGAATCTTCAAGAAGCATTCATCCAAATATAAGCAGCCCACAATCCATTATTCCTGTTTACTGCTAGCCTTGGCGCACAGGGAAAAATCTCTCTGTGTTCCAAAGATACATTTATTCTACTGAAGCGTTAAGAGAGCCCCATAACAGAAGAGATAGGAGGAAATGTCATTTTACTGATAAGATGGGAAGTTACAGAATAAAATTTTAACTAAGGAATTTAATCAGACCTTCGTTAATATAAAATATCAATCAACGCAAATGTTAAATATCAATTACAAGTAATTGGAGGGAAGATCTGTATGAATGGCACTAGAGCTGGGAGATGGGAGAGAGGATGGCGCACAGAGCTGGGTGGGAAGGAAGGGACAGGTCATAAGCTGAGAGAAATGCACTAGGGATCTCCCAGACTGAAGTTACTGCTGCGGATGGATGAGCCGGTAGAATATAGAGAGAGTGTCTGTGGTGGATCCCTAGGAAAAGCTAAAGCCTACACTTAAGCTTGGCCATGTTACCCAGAAAGTCAGAGCTGGGGAAGAGAGCTGAAGATAGGATTCCAAGGAGGAGGAGTCAACAACTGACAAATCATTCAGCAAATTCACTGTAAAGACTGAAAAGGGGGCCATCAGGAGGCTATTAGGAAATCACTGTTGGGCTTCAGCA